CTTTTTTGCACCATTTTTGGGGTAATTTTGTGCGATTTTTGCGCCATTTTTGTGCCATTTTTCGGGTCATTTATGCCCCATTTTTGGGATAATGTTATGCCATTTTTGTGCCATTTTTGGGGTAATTTTTGTGCCATTTTTGTGCCATTTTTGTGATTATTTTTGTGCCACTTTTATGCCATTTTTCGGGTCATTTTTGCACCATTTTTGGGGTAATTTTGTGCCATTTTTGAGCCATTTTTGTGCCACTTTTATGTCATTTTTAGGATCATTTTGTGCCATTTTTGGGTTCATTTCCATATAATTTCCATATCATTTCCATATAAATTCCATGCCATTCCCATATCATTCCCATGTCCTTCCCGTGCCACTCCCATGTCATTCCCGTGTCATTCCCGTGTCATTCCCGTGCCATTCCCGTGTCATTCCCATATCATTCCCATGTCACTCCCATGTCATTTCCATGTCACTCCCGTGTCCTTCCCGTGTCATTCCCATGTCATTCCCATGTCATTCCCATGTCATTCCCATGTCACTCCCATGTCACTCCCATATCATTCCCTGCCCTTCCCGTGTCATTCCCGTGTCATTCGCATGTCACTCCCGTGCCCTTCCCGTGCCCTTCCCGTGTCATTCCCGTGTCATTCCCATGTCATTTGCATGTCATTCACATGTCATTCCCATGTCACTCCCGTGTCACTCCCATGTCATTCCCGTGTCATTCCCATGTCACTCCCGTGTCACTCCCATATCATTCCCATGTCATTCCCGTGTCACTCCCGTGTCACTCCCGTGTCACTCCCATGTCACTCCCGTGCCACTCCCATGTCATTCCCATGTCATTCCCGTGTCCTTCCCGTGCCACTCCCATGTCATTCCCGTGTCACTCCCATGTCATAATTAGAGTAATTGGTGTAATTAGGGGAGTAATAATTGGGGTTATGATAATCAGGGTGGTTATGGTAATTAATTATTGTAATTGGGATGGTTATAGTAATTAGGGTAATCGGGATGATTATGGTAATTAATCACAGTAATTATAAGTAATTACGGTAATTAGGGTAATTGGGGTGATCATAGTAATTAATTAGAGCAATTATAAAAATTATAATTGGGCTAATTATGGTAATTATGGTAATCACGGTAATTGGGGTGATTATGATAATTAATTAGAGTAATTAAAGAAATGATAATTGGGGTGATCATGGTAATTAGAGTAATTGGGATGATCACGGTAATTAATCGCAGTAATTATAAGTAATTATTGGAGTTAGAAAAATTATAATTGGGATAATTTTAGTAATTAGGGTGATTACGGTAATTGGGGTGATCATGGTAATTAGGGTAATTGGGATCATTACGGTAATTAATTACAGTAATTATAAGTAATTACAGTAATTAGGGAAATTAGAATTGGGGGGATTATGGTAATTAGGGTCATTATGGTAATTAATAACAGTAATTAAAAGAATTATAGTCATGATAATTTTGGTAATTAGGGTAATTACGGTAATTGGGGTGATCGTGGTAATTACGGTAATCAGGATGATTATGGTAATTAATCACAGTAATTATAGGTAATTATTGTAATTGGGGAAATGATAATTAGGGTTATGGTAATTAGGGTAATCAGGGTGATTATGATAATTAATTATTGTGATTAGAAGAATTATAATTGGGGTGATTATGGTAATTAGGGTAATTACGGTAATTGGGGTGATCATGGCAATTAATCACAGTAATTACAAGTAATTATTGTAATTAGGGAAATTAGAATTGGGGGGATTATGGTAATTACGGTAATTGGGATGATTATGGTAATTAATTATTGTAATTAGAAAAATTGTAATTGGGATGATTACGGTAATTAATCACACTAATTATAGGTAATTATTGTAGTTAGAAAAATTATAGTTGGGATAATTTTGGTAATTAGGGTGATTACGGTAATTGGGGTGCTCATGGCAATTAATTAGAGTAATCAGAGGAGTTATAATTGGGGTGATTATGGTAATTACGGTAATCAGGATTATTATGGTAATTAATCACAGTAATTATAAATAATTATTGTAACTTGGGGTTATCAACGGAACAATTAAAGCTAATTAAGGCACAACTAAGTGCGTAATCCATGCTATCAATGAATTAATTAAAGTTAATTAAGAGCAATTAAAATACTTTTGGGGTTATCAATGAAAACAATAAAGCACAATCACCTTATTTTCTGTGTAATCAATGCTATTAATTAACTAATTAAAGTTAATTAAGGGCGATTGAGCTTCTTATGAGGCACTTTTTGGATAATTAATGCTATTCATGTACTAATTAGGGTTAATTAGGCGCAATTAATCAATTTTTGGGCTAATTTTCTGCAACATTTGGGCTAATAACTGGTATTTACATCATCATTAGAGCTAATTAACGGCAATTAAAGACAGATACTGGCAGGTTATGGCCCAGGGAGGGGTAATGAGTGTTAGTGAATGTTAATTAGCGCTAATTAGCAGTAATTAGTCACCTGGGTGTTGAGGAAGAGCACGCACTCCTGGGTAACGAGCGTTAATTAGCACTAATTAGCGTTAATCACCTGGGTGTCGAGGAAGAGCACGCGCTCCTGCGTCACGAGCACTAATTAGCACTAATTAGCGTTAATCACCTGGGTGTCCAGGAAGAGCACGCGCTCCTGGGTGACGAGTGCTAACGAGCGTTAATTAGCAGTAATTAGCGCTAATTAGCGTTAATTACCTGGGTGTCGAGGAAGAGCACGGGCTAATGAGTGCTAACGAGCACTAATTAGCGTTAATTAGCGTTAATCACCTGGGTGTCGAGGAAGAGCACGCGCTCCTGGGTAACGAGCGTTAATTAGCACTAATTAGCGTTAATCACCTGGGTGTCGAGGAAGAGCACGCGCTCCTG